TTAAACGTATGCAGAGTAAGTACACAATACCTTTCACAACGTTTGTGACCAAAAGCTAAAAGTTTTTAGTGCATATTTTTGCATATTTGGACATTTTTTGGTTTAAGGGGCATAAGTTTGATTGAAAGAGCATATTTTAAGCTTTTAGTGCATATTTTGATGGTATATCGAAAATCGAGCACTTCGGTGAATATTTTCCATGAATCAAGATCAACAATTTGTTATAAACTTATAAAGACGATAGAGATAAATTTTATAGTATCAAGTAACTATCTATAGTCAGTGGGTGGATTAGATTAGTTCTAGAAGATTTGCCACGTGTGTGTAAGTTCCGGGAGTTTAATTTGTATATAACGTTCGTGAGTAATATGCCAAAAGAAAAATTCGACAAAAGCTTATTGTTTGTGTAATTTTGTAATTGAGTTTGGTGAATCTGTATTTTCAACGGATAATAATGAAAAATAATGGGATCCGACATTCAAAAAAAAATTCAAATCAATTTACTTATAGTGAATAATAATAAAATTAATTTTTTAAAGGGCATATTTAACCGCATATTTTTAAATTTTTAATGCATAAGTGCATGTTTTTAAATGCATATTTGATGATTTTTTAGTGCATGAAAGTCCTTGCTCTATTGATAACATTGATAATTCTTATCGCCATGTGTTCAGATTAACATTTATACACTCTTTTTAATATCTCTTTCAAGCATATGATATGATACGATGCATATAACAAAGATAGTCTGTATATTTTATAACTTTTAACCGTGTATCTACAATACCAAGTTAGGGTATATCAACATGTCATTCAAATTTTTAATAGAATTTCGAGTCGGCTTTTCAGTATTATCCATTGATTGATAGCGAAGCTGTTGTTGGTTGTTAATGTACTGTTGATTGTTGCTTTTGAAAATTAATATGATAATGGTCTTCTGGTTGGTACTGTTGTTGCTGTCGGTACAATGCAGCTATTTAATTATTTTGTAAAAATCAAATGGCAAAGTAAAACGCGGATAAGGATTGGAAAATTGAAAAGAGTTAGCTGTGAGTTTACCGATTCTCCCATAGTACATCACTTCTGATATTATTTTTTTCTGATAATAAACGTTGATCTTCTGTCATACCTTTTAGTTGCAATGCAAACCTTTTTCCAATTACTGAAGATTTGTCATCTTCACTTGGTGTACCTATATATTTCATAGTTTCACTTTGCTAGATCCATAAATTCAATTTTTTTTGTTTTTTTCGGTGTGTTGAAACTTGCCGTTCCTGGATCGATATTTTGAAGAGTAGGAGATTCATTTGGTGTTAATACATCACGTACAGAGTCACTATCTTCAACATTCTAAACATAAAATATGAATAACTAATAAAACACTACCAAGATATGATGAGCATTAATTATACCACTATATGGAAATTATTTATGCGCAAGGTCTATCTAGTTATTATTTTAGATTCTGAGCGGAGCAATGAATTTATATTGATTTTACAATGATGCGCTTTTATTTATTTATTTGTTATTTTTTTTGGTGTCTGTGACCTGTATACACGATAAGTTGTCAAAATAATGCTTAGATTTTCTACTTCAGTAATTTACCAAGTAGTTTTCAAAAGCACCGGTAAAAACAAAAAAAAAAATAAGGAAAAACGAGAATTTTTACACAAAATAAATTTTGATATTGGCGTAACTCTGTATACACATGAAATTTTCACTGAATGTTTATTTTATCAATTCCTATACTTGATAAAATTTTCAAAATATTTCATCAATTTTTAAGCTATTTATAGACATTTGAAATTTTCCGTTTTTTTAAATTTTTTATTTTTTAAAATATGTCAATAAAATTGTATACACTGGGTCAAAAAACTAAAAATTTAATACAAAGCTCCTAATATATTGTCACAATGATAGTTAAAACATATTAAAAATACATAGTCACAATTTTTTTTAATAAGCATCGAAAGTTCGAATTTTGACAAAATACATAACAATCACGAAAATTTGCAATTTATTTAAAGTTAGAAATTCATAAAAATTTATCTTTTTATGTATAAGATTTTAGGTTATTATCTTATATTAAACATTATTTTCAACGGTGTAGGCCAGGGGTCCTCACTAGGATTTCTGAGAGAGCCAAATAGTTCATATCAAACTTTCCTTAGGGCCGCAAGTACAAATTGTACAGTTTAGTCAGGGCCTAAACCTAAACGGTATAGGTTAATTACAAAATATATTTTTCTTATTCTTATAATACACTATGAAGTGGCGTTAAATAACTTACAAACAATATGATTATAACATAAGTTTATTACATCAAACAAATAAACATTTTGCATATAAAAAAGTAGGAAATTCTTTTACTTAATTTCATGACTTGGCCTACTTGAGTTCATTAATTCGTTGAAGTCGAATGGCGAAATCTTTCACAACTCTCTAATATGGCATCTATGTTGGCAGGTTGAGAAGAAACTGAAATTCTCAAAATGTTGTCAACGTTCTCACTTGTTAACCTGGAACTGCACTTGTTTTTTATGAACTTCAGCTTACTGATTGTAGATTCACAGACATTCGTAGATGCAAAAACACACAAAATCTTCGGAGCACAGTCAATTAAGTTAGGAAATTTGTCCTTTTCAACTGCTTTCTAGAACTCGTAGTGAGCTTTATTCTTCTTTTTTTCTTCAAAAACACGTTTGAGCTCCGTATCATGTTGAAGATCAATTAACTCATTTTTCAAATCCCTAGCTTCGTATCCAAAAACAGAAAGATGAGCTATATTTGCTGTTGTAATTGACCATGGGTTTTTCCACTAAGCAAAATGGTTCTTGACACTTCCTGAAGTCACTAAACCTCAAAGACATTTCGTTCTTTAGATCTGTCAACAGCTTAATTAAATCAGAAACATCTTGACTTTCATCTGGATTTTCATCAAACAAAGTTCTAACAGAAGGAAAGCTAGAATAATCACTGTTTGACAATTCTTCGATGTACATATTGAGTTTTTGTTCATGTGAAAACACAATACTAATCATTTTCGTTACAATGTTATTGTTATGTCCTTGCAATCGAGTCAGTGTTTCATTCATAATGCCCACTGTATCAGTGAGAAACGCTACTTTGGGCCACCAACCAAAATCATAAACATCAGAATACTCTTTTTCTATTGTAGCTAAAACAGAGTAATCTCATGACCTACTGAAGAAACGTTCCAAAACTTTACCCTTACTCAGCCATCTCACTTCTGTATGGTAAAGCACGTCCCCGTATTGTGATATAAGCTCTTTCAAAAACTCTTGAAACGTTCTGTGGATCAGTTCATTTGACCTTATAAAATTCACGGTCTTTACAACTTGTTTCATAACACAGCTGAAATTTTCACCAAATTTAACAGCTAAGCTTTCTTGATGAATAATACAATGAAAGCTTAATAAATTATCGTTTTCCAAATGTTTTTTCAACAACTGAACGAACCCTAATTCCGGCCTAACATTGATGGGCAACCATCAGTACACACAGAAAAAACCTTTTTCAAATCAATGCTATGCTCATTAAAACAACTTATTATTGTGTTCAAATAATCAACACCTCAAGTTTGTCCGGTCATGGGAATCATGCCCAAAAAATTTTCTTTAACAACACAATATTTGGATACATATTTAACGAACAATAGTAATTGAGAAATTGACGCTATGTCAGTGGATGAGTCGAGTGCAAGACTAAAACATTTGCTTTGCTGAAGTTCATCGGTAATGTTAAGTGCAATATTTGCTGCTAAGTCTTGTGACCGTCTCATGCAAGTTGAGTCAGACGGCTGAAGTTTAGAAACTTTATTTAATATTTGCTTACTATTAGGTAAGTGTGAAAACAAAGTTTTGCAAACGGTGACAACACACTCTTTTACAATTTCTGCATCAGAAAACGCCTTCATCTTTTGTGCTAAAATTTCTGTTACTTGGTAGGATGCTTTTGTAGTAAGCTCATTCTTGTTCATTGCATTAAAAAGGGTACTACGTTCCCAAGCAAAGGACTTTTTCAATGATTGCAATTTTTCCTCTCGGATCTTAGATTTTTTCAGGAATTTTTCTTCAAACTGCTAATGAATTGAAGTGTAGTGTCTGTTCAAATTATAACGTTTGTTTCCATGTACCGTTTCACGACATATCAAACATCGGCCAGTTTCTTCTTTCTTACCTTTTGTAAAAAAAGATATCTCCCTCCCGCTCAGCTTGAAATGCGCGGTTTTGATCCTCAAGTTTTCGTTTCCGCTCTTTTGAGTACACTCCCGCCATATTTAATTACAAAATTCAATCACTGAACTAAGTCTTATGTTCGTAAAGTAATTTGTTCGATTGATAAAGTTAGCCGCATTAAAATCACATTAATACTGGCTCAACTTATACTTGTTTGCACTGAGCTAGATAAAACTCCCCACTGATGACAAACAGTAAAGATAAAACTGACGACCGAGCAATCGTCGAGATCACATATTTCAATTGTTGTTCGAGGCGTTCTGGAAATTACCGATAATAATAGACAATCATTTGATAATTGCCACCCGTACATAAACTTGTTGTATAAATATAAAATATAAAATACTGAATATTTTTTCAAAAAAATATTCGTTTCAATAACTCTAAAATGTATGCAGGTATAATTATCCTTAATAGTCAGTCTATCCTTAATAATCATACAATATTACGACTTCCGCCATACCACTGTGAGCTAAACCCAATTGAGCTGGCTTGGTCATCAGTGAAGAACCACGTCCGGATGTTTAATACCACTTACAAGCTTCCAGATGTAAAAAATTTACTAATAGAAGGCATAAAACGAGTCGACGCAGAAATGTGGGAAAATTTTATAAGCCACACAAAAAAAGAGGAAACAAAATTTTATGAAGTCGACAATATCATAGACGAGGTCTTGTCCGCGGAGAAATCAGATGATTTGTTGATGACTATCACTGGAGACACATCATCTGAAACGGATTCAGATACTGAATAAAACTGACCTTAATTGTTGTAAATATGAATTTAATTTGTGTAAATAAATGTTTAAAAATATGAGGAACTATAGTAAATATGACCATAGTTTTTGTAAATAGCTGTTTAGAAATGATGACTTTTTTAAGAAATATGAGTAATTTTTTTAAATATGAAATTTGTATTTATTTTTAGTTATAATTTCCTACTACCTACATGTAATAATACCTATTTGGTTTTAATAATAATTGTATACAACGTAGGCATTGTGTTTGGTGCAGAACAATAAGATAAAAGTACAAGCAACAGTAAAGAAATAAAAACTGTAGATTATAACATTATAGGTAATAATTATTATGATCGTGTAATTTATTATGATTATCTGTATACACGGCGGCGGCTGTCGATAGCGACGCATGACGGTAGAGGTCGACAACTAACGACCAATCACAGTGCACCTGACTCTCGCCGGGGGGTCTGACGACTGCCGGCGGCTCAGTTGTAGTCACGGACTCACGGATTTAGATAGTATGGTTGAGCGTCGGCCTATATTGAATCACAGCTTTGAGCGGCGCCGAATGTTCTTATCAAATCTGACGAAAAGTCGCATTTTACTAGCACCCTCTATAGTAAGAACTCTTATACCATGTTACCATAACTTTACAAACATTTTTATAATTTATATAATCGTGGGTATATGATATACCAGGTCATAGAGGGCGCTAGTATCAAGCGACTTTTTTTAAATTCTTGATAAGAACATTCAGAGCTGTCATATCCGTGCTCGTTGTGCAACCATAGTATCTATATCCGTGGTTGAGTCAGTTGCGTGCGTGAAAGTGGGCAAGGTTATTGTGAATAGAGTATACGTGGAAATCGCTGCAAATCGTTTGTCAACCGTCGACAAGCCGATACATGAGTCGACATGTTCGTCGAACGACGAGTTGACACTCACGAAGCATCAACTTGGAAATCGTTGATCGATTGACAAACATCCCCATACACTTATCAATTAATCTGTCAACCAGCAGTTTGTCGACAAACCGATCGTTTCATGCATCTTACACCCTCTCGTCAGCGCCCGCGGGCCGCGGCCTGAACAATTAATTGATGTCAATGAAAACAATTATATAATAACCGGTTTTTCGTTTTCCGCGGATTCTAATCTAATAAATTGTAAATAGTAAATCTATTTAAGAGTGTTAAACATGACCAATTGTTTATACAACTGATGAACTTAAAATTTCAATCATCAAAATTAATGATATATACGTCTCGAAAATGATTATAACTAATTGTATTTTGTTATAATACTATAATATGAGTATATGGCATTATGACATGTCTTGAAATTTACTAACGCTGGACAATATAGGTATAAACGCATAGTAAATTAGTAAATGACAGATGTATATTATAATATTAGGTATGTACTCTATTCAGAACTATTGTGGTCCTCTGTTTGTGAATGAGATTAATCCCACATAGGAGAACGAGAAATTGTGAAATCTAAAGTTTATCGGTAGAGAATTTTATGGAGATTCTATTTAAATAATCGACGTAACGAATTTTTAAGTAGTTTAATAGATAGCTTTAATAGTCCGTAAAAAAACCAAAAAAAACCATACAAAAATCGCTTTATCAATAATCATAGATTATAAATTGTGATAACGGATCATTAGTTACAATAACCACGGTTTAGGTTTTAGATGGTTTCCACTTCATATGTAATCAATATTGAGGTTATATTAGTCTACGTAAAGGGTCATTATTTATAATAATTGATAACTCCTTTGTTTATTAAGTTAGAGAATCAATCAAAATTCAAATAACATAGTCCTCAAAGGTTTTCATTTTCTCATTCATATATATAGGTTTAGGCAGGTAAATGCAATTTTTAAATTTTTAAACTGCTTATATTCTGATGAATTGACATTGATATTAATATGCCCGATTGTATGTATGTGTTTGAAACTGCATTAAAAAAAATATATATATTACAAATAAGTAATAACTGTTGTTAAACATAAAATTAATAGGATTACACCATATTTAACATATTATATTGCATCATATTGTTATTGGAAATGTATTTCTATAACAGCGTCATAATGTCATTGGTATATAAAAGAGTACAAATGGATACATTTTGTCAATAGTTAATCAAGAATAATCATAATTATTATGAGGTTTGTGTTACACAGATTTCCCAGTGGTGCCACTAAAATACTATTTTTGGGCATTCAGGTTTTAAAAATGTTTTGAAAGTTTAGGTGTGTAGCTTCAATATTAACCCTTATGGATAAAATGTTTGTGACCCCACTTGGCTTTTATAAATATTTATATTGATATGATGTACCTATAATGTATAAATTGAATGTTAGCCTAGTACAGAAGTGTAGTTTCACACAATTATAATATGAATCTAGTGTTGAATAACTCGGTTAACAACTAAATTTATTTGTCGTTTATAAGTTTATTTATCATTAATTGTATACCTTTGTGGAATTTGTATAAACGTCAATTTATAAAGTTCGGTTCATTTATTTTCTGGAAAACAGCAGACTATTTTAATTTGTTTTAAATACTTACGCCACTGATATGCACATTTTCGTGTTAACTCACTTATTCTAAATATTTCCAAATTGTCTTGGAATCTCTTTTGCATTCATTATTTTTTTGTTTTTTAACTAACTTATTTTAAAACATAGATTAATCATTAAATAAATAACTTTAAAAACTTAAGAAAAAAATTATTTGTAGCTTTGTGTGTACAATTTATTGAATAATTCAATAGGTATTTCCATCTGTATCTAGCTGCTTATTCATATATTTTCAGGTAATATTTAACATCAATAGTATGTTCTATCAATATGTTAAATGTTTTTAGTTTATTGTTAGATAATTAGATGAATCAGTGTAGTTTTGATAAAATCTACATTTATATGAATTATACTTACATAATATAAAATATATACTCCCTGCAAGGTTCTATGACTCAAAATTATAGGGAGGCGGGCATTCTACCAACTAAATTCCTATATTAGAATTGCGATTTTGTTCACTTTTAAGAGGTTCATACAAGGTAATGACTGTAAATCATCGGAAGGTAAAAGAGAAATTATAGTGTATAACATATTCGTGTACTGCTTAATATGGCATCCTTCAAGGTACAGTGCTAGGACCTATGTCCTGTATCATTCCCAATATAATATGTTAATTAAATTTAGATATATAGGCCTGTGCAGATGACACATTAAATGCTAATGTATATCAGGAACACTTTATAATAATAATAATAATAATAATAATAATGAAAAAAAGTTAAATGTTTAATAAAAAAAATCAGTTCTTGTTCCTTTTGCATTATCTAATGTCTAGCCAAGACTCACCAGATAGTCACAATTATAACAATAAAATATATAAGATACCAAAAACATATTACACCAATGTTATCTTTCTTTAACCATACAACCATACCGGTTTTTCTATTTAATCATAAATGCTTATTCTTATTTTATTTTTTTTATCATTCTGTTTGTATAAGTAATTTATTTATATTTCATGTCACCTAACTGCCAAAACTAATTGTATAACAAAGTTTAAATAAAATAAAAATATATTATTATTAAAATTAAAGAATGTAATAAAAACTGTGATTGTATATCTATAACGTTAGCTTAACCAAATATTTAGGTGTGATATTTGATGAAAAATTAAAACAGAAACCTCATGACATGCTTATAATAGGTTTAAGGTAATGCTTTTTTATTTTTTAAGAACTACGTAATATCTTAGACGTCCAAAGTCTAAAAAGTTTAATTTGCATTTGTCCAGTCTGTCTTTTAAATTTTTTATGTGGCATCCTTGTATGGGGATCTGCATATAAGATGCTACTGGAACCACTTAATGTCACACATAGGACCCTTATCAGAGTTACAACTTATACCTAATGACAAATGTTTATAATTCTGAAAATAACACATTATTTTCAAAAATTAAACTTATTTACATTGGAACAGTTTTACAAAAAAAAAAACATTAATTTTGAAAATGTAGATGAATCCCATAAGTCCTTCATATTATGTAGATTGTAGATATAATATGAAATCAAAGTATGTAATTATATTAACTAACTTAATGTAAATGTATTTTATGTAACTAAGCATAAATAAAGTGAGAAAAACTGAATATTGTCTTTAATTTTGTATTACAAAAATTACACATTTAGTCAATTCTAAGAATGTAGAACTTATTAGAGATACAATTTTTTGAATAATCATAATTTCAAAATTATGATTATTGCAGAATTCTTGCATTATGAATTATGGGTGCAACTGCTGATCATTCTTGATGAACATTTTAACTCTCTTAAGACCATTTTCTAAGTTTTGGTAAGAAAAATTATCAGTTGTATCGTTGTTGGCCGCACTCATATAATCATATGCATATCTTTTGCTACACAGTGTCCAAGAAAATATTCTACAGGCATAGCAAATAGGGATATATCAACTTCTTCGATATCTGATTTGTCCATAGATTTGACCTCTCGTGTTTTTTTAACAAGTTTTTCTACTGTAACATTATAGGAATCAGTGGCGTACACACTTTAGTATTTTTTCAGTTTACGTAATTACGTAAAAATGTATAGTAAAAATGATGACAATTTAAAAAAAAAATTAATAGTACTAAAAAAAATAAATACAAAATTAAATTAAGGGAATTTCAGTGTTACCGTCACAATCGAGATCGATTAAAAATGAACGGCGAGAAGACCGTCGTCACCGAAGTTATTATTTAATAATAATTATTATTAGATATGGGATATTCCAAATTATACTCCATTATATTATAACATTATATTTTAAACTGAAAAATAATTATTTACACAGGACAGATTAAATGGATTGACCATGTTGTCGGTATACCGTAATATAAATTTAACTCCTGAAGAAGTCATTGATGAGTTGGGACAAAAACCCAGGAAAATAGACATTGTTTTATAATGGAAATAAATATTAGTTAAACAACATATTATTTTGATTTATCAATGTATAATATATATATATGTATATAATTTTTTATTTGAAAATAGCTGTGTACGGCACTTATAGGAATGTACATTATACTCTTGAAGTTCATTTAATAACATGTTATTTGTTTTTTCTCCCAGACACACATCCAAAGATATTTAAAATCATTTTCGGGGCATGTCATGAGTAAAGTAAACTAACTTAACCTATTTCTAAAGTATTCAATTGAGATTGATTCTATATTTTATTGATTTATTGTAAATATCCATATCATACATTGTTCGTGTATTTTGAAGTTTAAACCTATCGAACCGGTGGATGTGAATATGTGATACGGTGATATGTATTATATAATCTTAGTAATTAATAATAGAAATGTGGAGTATTAAAAAGTATATTAAAAATCTACATTTAAGTCAAATGTAATCAACAGTAGTGATGTTTTTCAAATTAAAAAAAAATATGGAGATTTAAATTTTATATAATCTACACGTATCTACATATTATTTAATGTAATAAACTTAAAATATTATTTATTTTAATTACACCTACAGCATAATAGCATTTCAAATACTGTGTCACTGAGTCTATTCCTCCTAGAAGTTAATATTTGATAACCACTACTGAATAGTCTCTCAACAGGAGCAGACGATGGGAGAGACGTATTATACTTTGAAAAAACTTGTTTGACTATGGGAAAGTTATGTAATAATGATAATTCTTTATTTTTACAGTCCAAATAAGAAAGAGCTTGAACACTAGTAAAATTATTTTTTTCCCTTCTGTTTTCTCCTACAGTATCTTCAGAATTATATCCTTCAAAATCATCATCAGCCCCATTTAGAATACTATAGAATTCATTATCACTAACACCATCATGCTCATCTTCAGATGCATTTTCGGTGATTTTTTCAACTGCATTTAATCTATCACATACAGAAAGAAATAGTTGCTTACATAATTTTTTATATCTTACAGGCACCCAATTAAGCTTGAAATTAGGGTGACTGATAGAAGCTAAGATAAATGTTTTACTCGGGGGGGTTTCTAATTTATAAATATAATCAAACCGCTTTTCAAAACTTTTAATAACTAATAAAGATAATGGTCTACAATTTGTTAAATGAGAAGCTTCTATCAACCTGAGTCTTAATGCGATTATTGTTGGAGCTACATAACCCAAGAAAATAGATTTCTCCACTTGTAATTTATCGAGGGCTAATGCTAAAGGTTCCATTACTAAACAGTATTCTTCAAGAAATTTCCATTCAATAATTTTTAATTTATTTATTTTCAACTCATCAAACCCACACAATAATTTCTTTGCTACAATGCAACAGTCAGAATAACATTATAGTAAAAACGTGTCTTACTTAGACTAGCATTGCTCAACATTTTTTTTCATTTTTCTTAGCTTGTAACTTAGATAAGACTGAGGAATGCTTGTTCTGAAACATAAATTAAAAAGGTAATTTTAATTTATTTTGTTTTATATATCCATACCAATTGACCGGTACCTCTAGATTTTTTCATATTTTAGCTTTAATACTGTCATACTGAGGAACATATATCACTAGGTGTGCCATTTATCCAGTAGAAGTATAACTTTAATTTTAAAAAAAGTATACCTAAAGAGGGCTGCAGCCGATGAAAAAAAAGTGACCTTTAGATCAACTTGGTTTGACAGATTCTAATTTTAAAAACGGATTATGATTGATCAACAAGCTTATTAGGGAATGATTGAGGTGATTTCGAATATTTTTTATATTAAGTATTATGATATAATAAAAATTATTAGAAATTAATACCTAGTAATAATTTTTAAATGGTCATATTCATATACCTATCTATTTCTTTATTTTTTCAATTATTCGTATATACTAATATTAACCACAAAACAGTTTTATTTTATTAACCTACTTGTACATAATAATTTATTTATCTTGTCAATATGGATCAATTATTTGAAATGTAAACCTTGAATATTATTGAATTAAATTATATACATTTTGCATTATTTGTTTAATTCTGGTAATTTAATAATATTCATTGTATTGGGTAAAACACCTGTTTTATTATAATAATTAATAAATAAATAAATAAATAATAACTACATAATATTAGCATACATACTGTACGCCGCGCCGCTCCTACTTTTAATTTCGCGGTTAGCGACAACGACTCGCGTTATGTCGTGGACGTAAAGGGGGTGCAAACTCACAATATCTTATCCCGTACAATAAGGTTGAGAATAACTTAAGGCGCAATGGCGCAATATATTTATTTTTACAATAACATACACATTAGGTACACATATAACAATAAATAAATAAGTAAAAATATGGTATGATGACCTGATCGACCCTCCGACGTGGGTTACTGGTGGTCCGGTCCTCGCTGGAAAGGCGACAGCGTCTTCCTCTTCGAGAATTATAAAATCGGTGGTCGGCTGTGATACAAACAGTAATCCGTCAAACTTCGGCTATCCCGAAGTTTACGACGGTCGCGGTTTGACGATTCGACAAAAAAAAAATAGTGGTTTCCAGGCTCAACCAAAACTAATAATAATACTAATAATGATGTCGCATGACCACGAGGTCGATTACAGCTCGACAGAGGACATAAACGAACCGGCGGTGCGTAATCCGCCTGGTTCAGGCGTTGGCAAAAGACAAAAAAAATGGTGTCCCAGCACGAAAGCCGTGGACGCCGTCCGGCTTGGAGACACCGTGGAGGGGGAACGACTCATCGCGAACATTCCGCGCCGACCGCGTGACTTGTAAAGCCTTTGGACTTTTTCGTTAGGCGGGAAATTCAGCCGCATTCGAACACATACCTAAGAGGACGCCACACCCGCATGCGTTGCCTCCGTCTTACAAACGAGTAACATGCCAAATTTACGCTCAACAGTTCAAGTTTTATGCCATTAGCTTAAAAATTAGCGTGAATTAACCTATTATGAAACTTGATGGTAAGAACTTTATCCGTGTTTTGTTGGAAGTTTTTTTACGATACTTCAATTTTTAAACCAAAGACTCCTTCAACTTCCAGAACGCCTCTTGCTCAATTTCTGACCAACGCCATTTGGTCCCTTTGGCCAACAGACTCGTGAGTGGTGCTGTGATCTCGGCGTAGTGCGGCACGAACTGACTGTACCAACCACAAACGCCTAACTCCCGCAACACGTCTTTAGTCTTCTTTGGAACCGGTAATTCTTGAATCGCCGTCAGTTTTTCCGGCTCCCGGTCTATTCCTTCACCGTCCACGACGTGACCTAGGAATTTTATCTGTGTCACCCCGAATGTACATTTTTTTGGCTGGCACGTCAGACCGTAAGACTGGAGTCGCTCCAAGACTCTCTGCAAGTGGTTTAGATGTTGATCGGGACCCTCGGAGTATACCACGATATCATCTAAATAAACCAACACAAATTTACCAACTAACCCACGGAAGACTTCGCTTACCAAGCGG